TTTCCTGCTCTTGCTAGCCCGATATATGATAATATAATAAGAGTCTACTCCAGGCAACTTCTATCCCGTCACCCGCATAGTTGTCCATCACTTCTGCAGCGTCGTAAGAAGGTCGAAGTTCGCGTGGCAGAAGTTCGCGACGATATGATCCTCGAAACGTGGAACGATATTCCGGGAGGACAGCGTTGCGGAAAAGTCGCGAGGGTAGCCTTTACTGCTCGAACAGTCGCTTTGTTGTCAGTGATTTATGGGGTCTTATAGGAGGCACCGAGATGCCGACTGTCTAGCGTCATGGCATTTCGTATCGCAGTCACCTCGCTTCCGGGGTGTCGTGAATCAAGCGAACACGTCGCGAACACCGCGATTATACGAGCTCGCACGCAGGACACGTAGGACCGTAGGTACTCTGCCGGGCTTTATAGTGGGTCTATACATCTGTAAAAGATCGGTACATTCGTCCGGTCCATTTATTGTCGGTGGCCAGCAGTTCTTGGACTCGCGATCTCTGAACGGTCGGAGATTTACGAAGCGCAGCTTCGCGGATCAAGTATCCACCGTGCGAGGATCTTTTTCATCGAACAACCCTTTCTTTGTGCGTCCGATATAAAGTTGCCTAAATCGTACCTCTCGTAGGAAGTCATAGAACGTCGTAAAATTTCCTTACACGCGTTTGCACAGGTTGAATTATACGCTTTCTATTTGCCACTAATTCGTATGCGAGTTTACATCCACCGTGAATGGTTGTTATTTGATACGCTGCAGTTGTTACAAAGGATTACCGCGAAGATGTTATCAAAAAGGAATGACTCGCATAAAGAGGTTCCAATCTTGACGAGTACCGACCAAAAGTACCCGAAACGCTTTTGGCAGTCAGAACGGTACACGTTACTTACAGCCGCGCGTGTAATGAAACGAATACAAAGAGCTCCGCTGCAATTTTCACCGTTCCATCCCGGTCATAATTGCGGCAATAACTTTTCGGGGAAACATCTTTAGTTGGCGAACCGCGTCCGCGGTGGAGATTACGTGTGTCTCTTTGCCGAAAGAATCGGCGAGACGATGCATACGTCTCCGACCGGGCATCCGGATACTTTATGGGCCACCATAAATGCGCGTTAAACGCCCAAACGCGTTCATTGTTCGCGGTTGCGAAACGAATTCATTCTGGTTGCCCACCTGCCAGACTCACCATGATTTCTACCGACTGTTAATCGCGTCGCGCCGAGACGTCCCCTAAAATGGCAGCGTCTGGCACACCATTAAATAAAAAATTACAAAGCTCGTACGAAATGGCGGTTAAATATAAATAATTTTAAACTCCGTATGTGGACATATGTTACATGTATATGCAGCGATCTAGAAATCTGCAGAGTCGACAACAAACCGTGTAAATCGTATCGAAACTTATTTTCTTCGTACTAAGTTAAAATAATCACTTTCTAATTCCACGGCTCTACGCAGTTGGAACGAAGTTTTATGCGAATTTCCACGCGTAATCGTCCTCTTCAAAATTACCCAAAGCATATTGCAAGGTGGTTAAATCGCATCGTTTAGACGACACGGCAACGAGGTTGAACGATCGATCGAATGGCTGCTAACGATCCATGACTCGTCGAAGCTAGCCAGTGTAGGCGTCAATCGTAGGCCAGCCGATCTTCGGATTAAACTATAGGACAGCGCGGGAAAAATCGGCTTGAACATGAGAAACGATCAGCACGTACTCCAAGGGAACGGATGCTGCGTTTCTAAGATACGCTTTTATGGCTCGCGTCTCCAATTTCAAGTGTGCTTAGTTGCTCGTGTACCGTAATGGTTTGGACGTGCATGGCAAAGTAGACAATCCCGAGTTTCGCGAATATCGCAACTGTCGAATGGATGTCACCGTTTAGATCCGAGGGAGATCTTCTAGATCGCGATGAACCGCAAAACGGAGTCAAACATGGAGGTGGAACACGACAGAGCGTGCCTTTGCCGTTTCTATCATTCCCACGCCTACAACTGACACGAGACCGCAGAACACCATTCGAGTCTCTAACCACTGATATTACCTCGAAAAAAGCCATGGGCCGATTTTATCGTCGTGGTCATAGAATCGTTTTGATGGTAATAGATTTTGCTACTAGCCCCTCAGACCCTTTTGCTCGAGGTTATTTTCAACGTGTGCGCTTCTTAAGATTTATGGACGCATAAGTAGGTACGATAGTCATAATTTAGGTTTACGGATGCATGTTGGAAAGATATTCTATTGGAATCATATGTTACATCGAATAACCAATTTGTCGGATAAACCGGATGACTATTGGCCATAGTACACTTGGAACGACGCGATAACATTACAATAATTGAAGAAATAGTACATTTCTCTTAGTACTCTAGAAATTGAATCCGAGCGAGGGTCTCTGATTTCTAGACTTCCAGTCAAACACGAAAGTATACGGTGAAGCGTATTATAGGCGACATAGCGTAAACGTCACGGTTACAAGCGCGAGATTGTCTTTATCGTCTAGTAGCTTCATCGCGTAGCTCGACCATTCGCTTCGGCGATTGCGTCGTCGAAAATTTGCCGGATTTACGAGACGATCCCGAGGGTGGTTAAAGTCGCGTTATTCCGCTTTCTACGTTCCACCCACTCGCGGCTGGGAGTCGCGACGTCCGTGAAATCCTCGCTGCACTCTCCTCGAGTTCGTACCTCGTTGCTGGAAATCGTTAAGTCGCGAGACCAACGACTCGCAATCGTCTGCCCACGCACCGAGGACGTGGCGACACGTCGCTGCTATGGAAAGACCACCGTTTCGAGGCTGGACAGTCTGCCGATTGCGAGCTTGTACCAATATTTTTTACAACGAACGAGTCGAATGCGAAGCATTGATGGACTCGAGAGACTTTCGCTGTTTACGAGGGACAATTGCCAGATGTAATTGAAAGTGAAGATCCGAATGTTTGTGTTAAGCGTAAAAGTAGTTGAATTCTTTCCGATACGTAGTGCTTCTGTTCTAACACGGTTATGGTTGCATCTCTGAACCCTTGAATCAGAAGTGGTCAGACTTTTTTAAAATTTGTGAAGAATTGATAGTCACGAATGATAACAAAGAGCAGGGTTTTTTCTTTTTATTCTGAGGGAAAATTTAGGTATCGCTCTTGTCAACCCTCCGAATAAAATAGAAAGAAAATTTGAATAATAAATCATAATCTTTATGATGTCCACGCACGAATGGGTTGTCGCGTGATAACGACGCGCCCAGTTAAGTTTCGCAAGAGATTCGTTTATCTCGGAACGAATGGTAATAAACATATCTGTCCAATTTGTTCCCGTTATCAGCGTTGTTCTCGATCAAACTTTACTGCATCGACTTTTCTGTCGTGTCCGTTTAACAACGCCGCAGTACAATTTTATATTTAATTTATATAACAATAAGAAAGCGGTGATGCAATCGGAAACAGAAAAATATGTTTGAAAGTGCCTGCAAGAATTTTGGAATGGAATTAAAAAAGAACGCGGTACCATTACTTAAACTTGAACTTTCTACTTGTTTCCTTACGTAATTAACCCTCTTTTTGTATTACGGTTCTACATGGATTTCGCGCCTTATGTTAAGTACAGTAATACAACAACAGCAATATTTATGCGCTGTTTTCTCCAAGTATGTCTACGAACGATAGTGCAGGTCATCGTCGAACGAAATCGCGATCCAGCAGCATCATTCTTGTTCTCGTTACCGTTATCAGGACCGTCGATCTCCATTAACGTTCTCCAATATCACGCGTTGGACAAAAGAAACCGGATTTCGCATTCGCGTCGCTGAATCGACGCGAGCGTTTCTCGCCCAGAAAACGCGAACCGACGTTCTCGCGTGATCCGCCAGAGGTGTCAGCAGGGAAACAGAAGCGGAGGAGCCAATAGAAGCGGAGAAAAGGAGGAGCATCGAGGATATATGAAGCAAGGATGACGGTTCCATAAAAGAAAAGACTTGCCAGCATAGCTGAGTGCAAACACATGCTGTCGCTGATAAGGAGCCGTCCGCCACCCATCACGCCACCCATCACTGGCCGCGGCCGCTCCGATAATCCGCGAGACGCTTAATGATTTATTATTACTCCAAGGGAATCGCGGAGATACCGGCGATCCTCCGAGTTCCGAAAGCAATTCTGCGAGATAAACCGAGCGGTACTCGCTTGTTTCCGAAGGAAAATAAGCGAATCCTTGCGTGATTGAGATTAAACGTGGCGTATTTTCCACGGTTCCCACCAGAGGGATGTTTAGCGACACCTACGCTCGCTTTCTCGCAAATCCTCTTCTTCACTTTGGCCTTCTTTGCATTCTTCTAAATTTCAAAAATAATTCTGAGAAGTCGTAGCGAAAATTTGTCGAAATTAAAATGGTCTGAATTATTAAGCATAGAGACTCGTATGACAACAAGGTGCTGGCAAATTGAAACCGTTTACGACAGCAGACTTTGAAAACTTTGAATTTTTGAACTTTTTACCGAAAGTAAAAGCGAGTGCATGAAGCAATGTCTAATAAATATTTAACACGTGTATCTAAAGATATCGTGGATGGTCGTCGGCGAGGAGAAGGCAAATTATGAACGTTCAGGTTGAACAGCAGCTTCTTACAAGTCAGTGTTTTCTTGCTGCAAGCGATTGGAGAAATTGCTTGACGACGAATTATTCTTCGTCGAGACGAACAACCTGGGCGTGGTCTTCAAACAGGCAAATATAATTCCAGTGGCATAGTTTGCTCGGCTGAATCGTGTCCCTTCGAGGAAATTTCATGACGAACACGCTTTTCTTCTTCCAAGTTATCGGCTTTTTAATCGATAACGCATTGTCAAGATACAAATATACTGCGGTGTGGAGTCAAGATATATTACACATTAATCGTTCGGTATGTTTTCGTTCTTTTTCCTGTTGCAATATATTATTTCGCACAATTATGGTTCGGTAAATTATAGCAAATTCTGATCACCCGTGTTATTTGTAAAAGTAAGGACGATTTAACACCTTTCAGAACGTTTATTTTTATTGCAGAATATAGATAATAAGAATAATGTATTACTATTCTTACATGTGGATCTCTTATATCACGCTGACGCGATTCGAGCACCGAAACGATTCTTTTCGTACGGCGAAAAGAAAAGCTCCAGGTCGGACGCACCGTTACAACAGCGAGAATGTAATTTATATACAAATACTGTGTGTTAAGTATCTACAAACTCGATACGTCCTTTCGATTCGAGATTCGTGGACACACGTATCGTTCGAGCGATAACGAATGATCGTCGAAACGGAGAAAACTCAAAAGTATTCCTTTTACAGCGTCATAAATTGCATTTCGATTCCAGCGAATCGCTCGACGGAATCTTTTATTTTCAATAAATACTCTTGAAAACACTTTTCTCGGCGTCAACGACGTTAATATATTTAATCGAATATAAACATCGATTGCCCGCGAACACGTCGCGCAATCGTATCTCAAACAGGTAGTATACGTCGAAGTTTTAACAAGAACAAATTGCACTATCTCTCGTTCACGAAATTCGCCGCGTTTTTCTTATTAAGTTAATATATTTTTTTCGCGGGTGGCTTGCTACGAATCGAGCCAGGAACCGATCTCGTCGCTTAAACTAATAGCGTCGCGAGAAGAGCGAGTTAACAAATCGATTAGAAAAATACGTCCGTATTTACACGTTCCGCGCTTCAGACTACGATGCTTAACGACTAAAGAAGAAAAGTCCTTAAGGTAGTATTCATCGATTCAACGACGAACTTGCTCATCCGCGACGCGGGCAAATTCGGACGCGTATCGCGCGTTACTCGTCGTCCATTGGCATTGAGCATATTCCATAATCTCATACACCAAGTACTCTTAACTTAATTGCTCTACTATGTACACGTGCGTCGGATAACAATGGTCGATTTAATAAAAAAGGTTTGAGCTCCTGCGCGTTTCAACTAATTGCACAGTCCGAGTACTCGAGTGTACTTCACGATAGAAAAAGAAACAAAACAAAATGAGATATGATTAGTCCTCCTCGTTCAGTCGAATTTGTTCGTCGAACAGCACTTGCTTTTCATGCTCACGGACTCGTGAACGCCTCTCGTATCGATAACAAAAAAAAAACAAAGAGAAAACTATCTAACAATTACGAGTGATTATGAAATAACATGGTAAAGGTCGCCTTTCGGATCGTTGCACATCGCCTCGCTCGCTTTCTGACGAGGACTCGCAGTTCCAGTTGCCCGCAATTTGACGCAAAGCGTATCTTCGAGTATGGCAAATATGGCAAACGTTGCATACGGCATTCCAGCGGTTGCGATCGAGGCTAACGCGACGCGTTTCGCGTGATCCGCGAACTGGCTCGCGTCGCGTGCAATAAAATATACGGTTGACGCTGGCAAGCGAGAAAAATCCACCCGGACCGCAAGAAGCGCGAAAACGACGAGTCATGTCGCGTCTCGCGAGGATCAGATTATTTACAAACGCAGCTCGACTCTTTTATCTCCTGGTACTAAACGTTCTATGCATTCGGGGAGAAACAAGACGCGGAAACGCCTTCGAATTCAATATCACAATATCACACGATACACGAAAGCGAAACGCGCGCAACGAGATCGACGTGGTCTCCGAAAGATTGCTCTCGTTGCGCTCTGAACCATCGGATCATCCGTAGTCAGGCTTCGCTTACGTATTCGCGACATCGCCTGTTTCTCTGTCGATCTCGTCGCCTGAACGGTACAATTTCTACTCTAAAAACGTAATCACCGTTTCGCGACGCATTTCGTAACGTCGATTACCGAATCCTCTCGCTACCGCGTTATTGCGCGACGAGAAAACGAGCGTCTCCGTCGAATTCTATCCCTGCATCTACGCCAGGAACGTTTCTAACCCAGGTCATGGAGCGACTACCGGACAAAATTTACCGCCGACCGTCTCTTTCCGATCGTGGTTCTCGTTCGCGTAAGTTGCGGTTCGCGTATTTACAGCGCAATCGTTCGAAGCGTCGTTCGAAGGTCCGCGCGAGAACGCGTCGAGACGAGTCGGGAACCGATCGATAAAAAAGTCCCATTATCGTTTCACGTGGTTTCGCGTGAAAATTACTTCCTACTCTCACCGTGCGCGGAAACGCACCGAGTCATCACAGCAATGGACGGAGTCGGATTTCAGGCGAGCGCGACGATCGAGTCGTGCGCACGACAGCAAGTTTACGACATCGTTCCCTTCGAAAAAGTTTCTCCGGTCAAACGTACACCTCGCCTCGCTTGCTTCCGGCGACAGGTGCCGGTGCCGGCACCACGTGGTCGCCGTGGTGGGCGTCGTGCCCAGTCCGCTCGATAACGTCGCGTTGGTGCACGACACGCTGCTGATCTTCCTCGAGGTTTCCTGTATTCGGTGAATGGGTCTACAGAGGTCGTGGCCGATGCTGTTTGTCCTTGGTCGAATGTCCTGGTTCGCGTGCACCAATAGTCTGTCTATGTTGGGAGGTTCGTGGCCATTCGATACCGAAGCTGCGCGATTCTCTCTCGGCTGAAGGCCCGGAGAGTGCGGCAGAGACATGCTTCTGTCCTCCCTGGACGGCAGAAGCGGTGGACCCGGCAGCGAAGCCGATCGTCTACCTCGTGGATCTGTTTTAACGTCCTGCGCGATCGGCACCGTGGTGACCATATAGCCCAACTTCTCGGGATTCATCAGGATCGGAGAACGGTCGGTGTAGCTGTCGAAGGTAGGCGAGCTGCCGCTGCTGCCCAAATGGCTAGCCGTCTCTCCGATCAATGGAGTGCTCCTATCTTGATTTATCAGCGGCGTGGATCGCTCCTCTTGGCCGGTGATGCTGCCGCTCCTGCTACTGGAACTTCCGGAACCCTCCTCTTCGCTGCTGTTCACCTCGGTCAAAGTGGCTTGGACGTTGTTGGTTTGATCGCTCGGTTTGATCATCGACGCGGACGTGGTCGTGACCAGACCCAGCTGCGTTAACTGGCTCATCGTGACAGGCGTCAGAGTGACAGGACCTACCAAACCAGCGCTCGTCAGAGTCGGTGACAGGACAGCCTGCGCCAACGCGGCTGCTCCCGATTTTCCTGTCGCCGGAGTGCCCTCGGCTTCCTGGATCGTCGACAACATCACCTGTACCACAGGTAGGTCCGTCTGATAGTGTCCGTTAGCTGGTATCACTCCGACGACACCCGCACCGATGTTGACCGCGTTGGTCGCCGACAGAGCCAGTCTCTGTTCACGGTCGACCACCTCCTTCGTCACATCCGGCGTTGGTATGCGTGGTCTGTTCTTCAGGGATACCGGCACCGAGTTCAGCTTCGTCATGGTACCTGCGGACGAACACGAATTAGCTTAGCTAGTTAAGAGGATTACGATTATCCTCGTGCAATAGCTTCGGCTTCGAGGCTGAGGATGATCGTCGGTGATTTGTACGCGGTCTTAAGCACTTTAGTGTAAGAAGAATGATCGTCTGTGGAACGAGGAAACGAACGATGGTTATCGTCGACTAAAGAGCAGAGGGCAGGTCGTGCAGTGAAACTCGCGAGTCGATCGTAAAATTGCTCGGCGATTTTCTTAGATCGTTTTTTCATTGACTGCCAGTGACAGGCACGGGTGGAGAAAGAAGCACAAGGTCTTTGGGAAAGGTTTTTTCCATTTTTTATCGAGAAGCGCGATTCGCAATCGCGGAAATTGTTCAGGTTACACAAGGTTACAGGTTGCGTAATCCCGATGCGTGCACGAACGAAGGTGGGGAAAGCGTTCGAACGTTCGCGAGACTTTCATTGAAAGTTCTTCTCCTGTCGCATTGGAATGCGTGACAGAGGAGATCGCGGAGACGCGCTCAGAAATGTGCGCCGAGGAATACTCGACATAGCGTGTTTTTCTCGCGGTTTTTCTCTTCCTATCTTGCCGCGATATTAATGGAGCATATTTCTTTCGCTAGGAATGATTTCGCGGAAAATGTATGCATCGAAGAAATACGGTTAATTGGTGCATTGCATAACATTACATAATTATAGTCTGCGATACTCGGAAATTAACGTCATTTCGTTGCGTTTCGAAAACCTCTAGCGATCTGTCAGCGCGGTCAGAAATCGCATTATCGCGTTCATATATCGCAGTTCCACGTGCACAACTTGGTTCCACTCTACCGAGTCGACACGATGGTCGACTCTAAAAGGACTCGGAAAGAATGCACTGTACTTATTCGTATCGAGATACTTGCTTTGTCTACCCATTCTTTGACTGCGAATGCTTTTCCGTCCGACTAATCTGTCGTACAGCGACATTTTAAGGTTCGGATTGTTCGTTTGTGGCAGACCTCCGGTCTCGGGGCTGCTATAGACACTGTTGTGACGGTTCCTCGAGAAAAAACCACCTCCGCTGCTGTAGGTGGTCGATGAACTGCGGACAGAGCCCATTCTGGTGATCTGACGCTGCAGCCAATTTTTTCTTCGTTCTACTAACGGAGTATCCACGCTTTCCTGCAAAAAAATATCATAAAAATAACATCACGGTTTTCCCCGTTTACACAGAATGTACAATTAACCGTGGGTTCAGGAATATATAATCAACCATCCTCGGTGGCTGCATGCAACAGAGATGCGAAATCTATATGGTCATTTGAATATCGAAGGATTCAAGTTCATCTCGTGACGGTGTACTTACGTAATCGGCGTACATGTCATCCTGGTGAGTCTTGCGATGCTGAACGTGATTGTGAATCTGCGTACCGAGCATAACGTTCGCATAAAGAGCATCGCTCTCTTTGACCTTATAATGCTCGGCCGATCCCTTTGGTTCCTCGCGTCGATACTGCTCACTGGCTACCGTGTACGGTAAGTCTTTCGGCACTACCTCGTCCCAGTACTGATCCTTCAACAATTCTGGATGCTCCTCGTGCATTTCGTCGACGATCATGTAGCCTGCCTGTTAGGTACATCGATAAAAATTAGCTTGATAAACACCGTTTATTATACAGCCACAGGCCTATAATTTTGTAGTAATTATATGTTTGCAATCCAATATTTTTTATCATTCGTGAAGGATCTTTTTAAATACACAGTACGTTTTATTAACCGGCTAAGATAAGTTTATTTTATTTGCAACATATTTCAAACACACAACATAAAGGTGTAATCGCTGTAGTTTTGTCTCTGCTGTAATATTATAAAATCACTATGTTCAGTAAAATGTGCGTATGAGTTATTAACAGACAAGTGTGCAAGAAGCTAACTCTATAAAGACCCGACGTTATCAGAAATATGCGTAGAATAAATTTGCATACCTTTATGTGTCGATCGATTAGCCAATTCAGCTCGATGTCGTCGTCATCCTCGCCAAATGGATTAATCAACACTTCGGCAACTTTCAGCCAGCCAACGTAAAAGCAGAACTGAAACGAACGCGACGAATTGATCGATAACAGCGAACCGATTCCCAAGCGGTATTACAAAGTAGCTTTTCTCACCTGCAACGCCGTGAAAAATGGAAAATACATGTCTGGCTCCTCGTATTTCCCGCCTCCGGCGTCCGTCCGCTCGATGAACTGTCTGCCGAGCAAAGCGGAGAAGAAGTACGCGTACAAAGATAGCGTGACAACCTGTAAAATATAAACAAACCATGTAGAGATTCTCGAGGAAAAACGTGAACAGTTTTATGGCAGTGAAACGCGTGTGCGCGACGATGTATATTATTCCTCATGTGTCGTTAATTTTGCGAAGCGCGATAAAAAAGCGCAAAACAAACGTCGCGATTACGCGACTGTTAATCAAAGACCTGTTGTTAATGGTCGGTGGGGAGCGGGAGGATAAATTAAACGACAGAAATTCGCAGATACACGTCGATCGCGTCGTTTTACTGGATTCTCGGAACGATCGCTCCGAACACTTTCTGCGTACGAAGGTACAGAACGAGCAAAAGCGATCGACGATAAGCAGCAGGTAGCATCGCTATGAATATCCCTTTTGTCATTGTTGCAGATCTTCTCGGAAATATTTTAAAATTCAGATTACTTCATTCCCAATTCAAATTTTTCTCTCGCTACCCTATGAAATTATGACTCTTTATGAATGCAGGAGGATAGAACGAGTGACAATACAATGTATAATCTTTTCTTGAAATAAATAAGTGGAATATTCAAAATTTAAAAGCACTTCTGAGACCATAAGAGACCACGGTTAACAAGATGGCAGGTTCTGAGAAAAGAATAGGATAGCCAGTGTTCGCACAACAGCGTAATGTTCACGGAAACATTGAGGACACGATGAAACTGTACACTCGTGTAAAAAGTTCCTTGTTCCAAGAGGGTGCAGTTTGAAATGGGATCGCTGAGTCGGAGGAAGGTTTTTCTACCAGTTTCACCCTTTCGTCACGGCTTACGCGAGCGAGTGAACAGGTTTGAATGAAATAATATCAAGGTTATCGAGAGCAGCGCCTTTCTCGTCGAAGGCCATCAGGAAACGATATTTTATGCAAAAGATTGCCAAGAATAATGCATCGAGTCATCGATGCTTTGCCTTTCGACTTTGATCGTCACCTCCGTGGATATTTGAGAAACGCTCGCGACAAACTGGCTGCGAAATTATTTCCGCTGCAATTCGCGCGACGCGAGATTGCAGCCACGCTCGTTCGCCGTCCTTGACCATGCAGTTTGCATCATGTTCGTGACTTGTGCACTATCGACAACGTGTTACTAGGCGAAAAATATTGCTTCTGAGAACGATCTCGAACAAAGGATGTCACAAAGAATTATTTAAATACATTTTCGATTTCAACAATTCTTTCTTTCCGAGATGGCTCTTGGAGAGTATTTTACGATATCGATGACCTTTAAGGACGCCGTCTGAAAATTGACTAGTAACGGAATCACTGAGTTTACGACGAACAACTCATTCATCGAACAACGTTACGTCATCGATTACCAGTTAATAATTACCAGTCGGGGATATCGAAAGACATTGAACGGCTGGAAGAGAAGTATCGATCGACTTTTTCCTGCAAGCAATACATCTATCGACTCATTATCAATTATGTTTAGATCGATCATGAACGATGGGGCAAACCGCGCTGTTAGTCAGCGTATAAAACGAGGCTGATTTTCATTCGCGATGCTCGTGCTGTGCACATAAATTAAGCGGGTACTAGAATCACGTTTCACGTTGCTTATCAATCGACGTGAAAATGCTTGGAATTCTTCGCTTGGAAATAGAGCAAATTCGAAAGGCGGGAAAACATGTCAGTTTAGATCGGTGATAGGCAGATCGACTGTGGTCTATGGAGGTTTATGGAGATTTTAATCTCTGAGAATTTAGTCATTTAGAAATTTTGGATTTCCCAGTTTTTAGATTGGGAAATTTACTTTCTAATGACTTGCAAACACTTGTCTATCGGTGACGACTAGCGAGTCGACAGTACTCGTCGCAGTATTTCGACAGATCGACGAAGCGAAATGAAGGAGCAAGAGAACCGCCGACGTGTTAATCTCGCGAAAATGACGGTGTCTACGAGCAGTAATTAGGAAGGTTGGTTGATGAGCAATTAACGTTGCACAATGCATACGTGCCAGTTAATTGCGAGTGCGAAACGTCTTTCCGAGAAGGGGTCGGTGCAACGAATCGAGTCCTTCGAACGAGATAAAGCAGCTGGATCGTGAATATTATGGACGTCGACTATAGCTTCTATGGGATTAAACGAATGATTTGTAGGCGAAGAACGACCTCCACGGTTGCTCATCGAGTCTTCTATCCACGATATTATGTTGCAACTGGATGACGTACTTTCTAACGATTCTTAATTACGTCGAATCCGTGCAAACCGTTTAGCCGAGCTAATAGAAGCGAATCGCTTAAAAGAACATTTGTTCTTCTGACGCGTCCTTCCGATCGTTAAAAGTTTCGCAAAGTTTCAGCGTGAAACACGGCTGGAAAGCGAAGGTCTTTGCTTTTTTTCGAGAATATGTGCGAGCAAACACCGAGGAGAATTACGAATTATACACCAGAGTGGTACACGCTTGTCAACGATAATAAAAGGTAGCAACGATGAGAATCAGCGCAGGATGAAGATGTTCAAAGCACTCGGTATTTCTCAATGACCGTCCTCGCAATTATCCGACTTGTCACTGATTTCTGAATGAGATTGAAAAGAGAACGATGCGTACCGTTATTTCCTCACTGAATCTCTTAACCGTTCGAGACGATTGTCGGAATAAAGAAATCGAACGCCCCGATGCTATCTTTAGACCATGTATTTCAACGACTTTTCAACGCTGAATTACTCGCCATTTCGCGAACAACCAGTAATTTTCCTCTATACTTGCTTTTTACTTTAGAGCGAATTAGCTTAGACCATTTAACTTTGCCATAATTCTGGCCACGTAATTAACATAAAGAAAATTAATACGTCTCTGCGATTATCCGAACGAGTTGCTTTGTAACTGGTTCATACGATCTCGCCAATTTAAACGCGTAACATTATCGCGCGTTGTGTTACCAGAAGACTCGAGCTTTCCACTTATTAGCTTGCATGATTAACGCGATATTATGGTTACTTGCCTGCGTGTAAACGAGAGGAACACAAACGGTGTCGTAACCAATGAGTGCGCCAAGCCTCTTCCGGATGTCGCTCAGCTCGACAAGGAGGGTTTGCACTACTTGGTCGCTGGTGATCAGAGCCTCCCTCCTGGCTCTGTTGATGATGTTCGTCGCCCAAACCAGCGGCATCCAGTACTTGGACATGGCCGCTTTCTTGTTCATCATCTCGAAGATTTTCTTCTCCGACTCCATCATTAGACCTGGAAGCAACGATACGGATCACTCGTTATTTTCGCTCGATTGCAACTTTCGATCGAGAAGACGGAACGATATCGACTTTCACCGCACGAACAATTAACGAATTGTTATCGACATAGATAATCTACCGGATTACTGGCCTAATAACTTCCACTCCAATACGTATTTCGCATTTATATCTGTGAGATGTTTACCTATCGTTATCCACTTATTTTGCTATAATAAGTCTTTAGCATCCCACGTAAATTTCAAGATTTTCTGGAGACTTTCTATTTTGACTAATTTTATGCAAATGCACCTCGAAACTTTCCTCGCTATTTAATCACACGATGTCTTTCATGTCACATATGCTCGACAAAACTTCGACTATATTCTAAATAAAGAGATTTATTTATCGATGATGCGACGATTATGCAATTGCTTGGGCCACTCATGTGAGACTCATAAACACGAAACACGTGGACGATGCACATCGCCACGTAGCGAACACAATCGAGAATACGCTATTAGTCAGTCGACGATCGTCCTCTTTTTAATCATCGTTCGGAATCGTTTTTAAACCATAACCGCATAAATATGGGCAGAACATTTTTTCGAAATAAAATCGAACGCTCGCGGAACGAATGCTAAGTTGTCGGTTTCCGCTCAGAATTCTCGTTACGTGTCTATTATATAACATTTTAACCGATACTTCCAACAGTAGGCTAGCGTTGCACGTACAATTAACTATATCACTGAAAGTGCAGCGAGCTTCGGTGAAACTCTGGGAATAATTTTGTTCGAGAAATTTTAGCAGCACTTTTGCAAACATTGTGAAACAAAGTCTACAACGTATGGACGGTTTCTAAATCAATATTTATTGTTTCAACTTGGAATTATGCGCATAGGAGTGTGGAACGAACAATGGGAGAAAACGAGAAACGATGTTACTTTCTTGTTATATCTAGAAGGTTAATACCTATCAATTTTTCAATACATTAATCAAGTTTTTTCGCGAGGACGAAATTTAAAAATGTGAAGTTATGTTGTATTCATAGGTGAGGAAACTTATGGTACATCTGCGAATCTAGAAAACCTCTGTGCTCAATTTTCGTATCCTTATCGGCATCCGTTTTTGTCCCTTCTCACGAACTCCGTCAGCCAATTAACTTTGTTATCTATCTCGAGTCCGTATCCTATCGTATCTGAAACACCTTCTTGCTTGTCTCGCGATACGAGATCGAAGCGTTACGCGACGTTTCGTGTTTTATGGATGCAACAGGTACGTTCTATCGGATAGGGACAGTTTAACGATGCTCGTCGTGGCAAAAACGACGTTAAAAGTCACGGCGGCCATGGATCGCGACGATCCACGGTCGATCGGTATCCGATCGAGTAACGGGAACTCGGTAATTTCTCTCCAGAGGGGGAATCTTTTTATTGTTAGAGCAGAAACGGCCGCGTATCCGTAACGAAGCTAGAACACGGCGACGTCCGAAAAAAACGCGACGCCTACCTCGGAACGGATATCGAAATAACTCGTGGCGTCGTTCCGACAAGTAGCGGCCACGAAGAAACCGTCTGTGCGATCAAAGAAACGCAAGTGACGACGTCCAGTTATTAATGGTGGCACACATGTTATCCGGTGTAACGCTGGAGCAGGTTCAGGTAATGACCTTAATAGCAAAAACCAATGCGCGTAAACTGCCGTTGAAACCAATATGGTTCGCGGTACGTGTTCCCATTGTGGCCTGCACAAACCGTTTCTTAGGATTACTGATCGTTTCGGTCACCCATTCTTCATTTCTTCTCGTTAGACTCACTATTCCCTTTAATCGAGCCCTTAGCTTAATGTACGCTAGATTTCGGTTATGTCTCCATTTATATCTCCTTTGAGTTTCAATGAACGTTACTGTTCTATGTAGCGTTACGTTGCTACCATATTCCCATAACGTTCCTATTCAGTATATCGCATCAGGTTACGTCATGCTTAATGCTATTAAAATCGTGATTAATCTCAAACTTCTAGTACCCGATACCACGTTCGACGTATACGTCGCAATTTTTATATCGACTGTTCCTTTACTGCGAACTATTATTTCTTTACGAGTTACCAGGAGAAATGACGGAGGTGTACGGTGGTCGCCATGCGAACATTTTATACCGATCGAATCGCTACGCTATCGACTGAATCGATATGCAATCGGTTCTTTATTCGGTGTGTGCGGCCTTGATGCAATCGCATGGTCACATGGTTTTTATACAATGAGTTCGAGAATTTGCAACGGAGAATTGTGAGCGATAACTCATCGCATGACTCACGTCAAAGTCGCGAATGCAACATGCTAACCTACCGAAAGTATGGCAAGTCGACGTTACGTTCGATGTTCCGCCGGAACGAGCGATCGAGCACGCAACCCTATCGAACCAGTATCTAATGCAAATTTTTTCTTCGTTGTAAAAGATGTTTATTTCCCTTTGTCGCGTGGGCAGTGGTCCGCATCAGAGGTTAAAAATATCTTCCGTGAAAGGAAGTATGTGTACCAAGAATTTATAATTAACGAGCGGTCAGGTTTTCCCAGGAAACTTTCGAGTAAATATTGCTCGACAGTGAGTACGGTTGTCCTAAATTAATTCACATTCCAGTCGATGACACAGACGAAATATCGTTTCGTTTGCAATATGTTAGAATCAACTGATTCTCAAGATTGATTTCAAAAGAGTCGTCAGTTATTTTACGACGGCAAACAGTCGCTAACGAAACGGAATCAGCGTTAATTATGAAAGCATTCGCGTGTACGAGATCCTTGACGCGAGTCATTTGCACCTAACGTATGTAAGTCGGCAACATGAATCGTTATTCCGAGTTGAATGCACAGCGGATCACGCAGTACGCTAATCGTTATTAATGGCACGGTCGAACGGTAACAAAGACGGTAAAATCCTACAATGACGGCAAACACGACGCATCATTATCATTTTAATCGGCCAGCGAATGCACGTGTGATGGATAACAGTCTCGTGCACGATGAAAACAAAAGCTGTTCGATTTTTCAAATATTCTAGCGCGGAGTCACCAGATAAATGTGATCGTTGATCCAATAACTATACTTAGCAACTCTTGCTTATAAATTATATATAAAATGATGGAACCGAGTGAATAGAAGTGTAATGAACAGAGTCGATACTTGTCTATGATCTAAGAGGTACTCGTGCATGTTTACCTCTCGAAAGAGCATCAGCTGAAGGCGCAGATAAGCGCGAGAGGAAGCAAGGCACGGAGCACTTGGGTGCGCAAGTTGGGCTTAAAGAGGAGAATGCTTGTCGGGGTCAATAAACGCGAGGATCCTTGCTCGGCTGGCAAGGTCGCGACGAAGGTAAAAAATCAACCGTGTTCCCTCCTTCCCTCTCATCCTTGCCTGGTCGATGAAGCGAGCCGGACCGACGCTGAAAAGCATCCTTCGCAGAAAACCAGTCCCCTGTCCACTTCGTGTGTGTGTCTTTAAGCGTGTTCCACAACGCAGACGCGTTTTAAACGACACTGTCTGCGTTAGGTCTGGGTTAGATGGATGATCGCGACAACGGTGTCCGAGTTAGGCCTCAGTTAGATGGATGGTTAGAAAGTTGGAATTTCGTGAAAATAGTAAAACAGGTCCGACTTGAAAAAGTCGCCTGACAGTATTTAACTGATAGTCCACTTTCGGTTACAAGCGGGTGCAATCAAGGTTGTAAAAGGAAACAAAGCAATGTCACGATCGGACGGTGAACCTCGCGAGTTTTCCGAAGGTTCACGATCGGACACTTAGCCAAGCACGTCGATCAATCGATCGAGCTTGGCGCCGGGTGAAACTGGACTGATTAGGAAATATTGACGCGTAATTAAAAGCGGGCAAGTTTAAATGATTGCAGGCACACGCGACCATGAATGCGCACTGGGTGTCAAATAGACCAGCTGCCAAAGAGAAAATCGAACTTCGTCCACGCCCGACCGCGAAGGCGTGTACGCTCGACTATTCCCGCACGTGTATCGACGATAGTCACGACACGAAGACGCGTCATTAACGATTTCACTATCAATGCGATCGACGAAGGAAGGTCCGGCATGGAGAAATTCGTTGGAACCTTTCACGCTCCGATAATGGGAATATGCGAGCATCGATTTAGGCAGACTAATTAACTGTCGAGAAAAATAAGCGGTTATTAATCGAGTCATTAAGGGAAAGGAATGTTACGATAATTTTTCTTCGCTAGATTTATTATGGGCTACAGAAAAAGGCTAAGAAAGCAACAAAATTACGAAGTTCAAAAAGATTCGGGAATATACGGAAAGACAGCAATCTTTGAGTGTCCCACATCTCTGAAGATCTTAATCTGACTCTCTGTTTAGATAAATGATCGCGTTTTTCCAGAAGCTGCGTGTTCTATGAAGATCGATTTTTAGATTGCTTCCAGCACTCGCGGTTCGTTCTTGCACATCTTATTCTGCTCTCTCTCCGTGAGATTCCTCGAAGAACGCGTTGCTTTTAACCCTTTCATTACTAGTGGCGCCTGTGAGCGCTTACCGTAAGTGCCTTTAGACGTCCAATTAATTTTACTAGGCTCAAGGTATCGCCACTTTCGAATTTCCGATGGAAACTGTTTAATATATATCATCGAGGCCTTCTTAAATTGTCTAAGTGCTATTTTCACCTTGTTTCTTACTACAAAAAATATGTGTCATCAGTATCAATCTGCCTGTCAATTAACGTTCAACGTAAGGGTTTCGTGCAACGAAATATCTGAAAACTTTTAGAAATATCTGTATTCCAATCGATGACTTATACGCTTAAAATATTGTACTTGAAAACGAGGCAGGAATTGCAGCTCGCAGCACTTAAAATACATTACTTCCAATCGTTCGAACACGAAAGACGAGCTCCATCCAGAAACTCTGACGCACGCGATATTTCGCGCAATAATAAAAGAGGAATAATGAACGAATAAAAAAATACGATTGATTTACACAGATGTAAAAGGTCTGCGT